AGTGGAACTGAAACCCCCCCACACCTGGAAAATCGGTTTCGAATTCAGGTTCCGTGTTGCGCGACCAGGCAAGGCGAAATTGCGTGGGCGGGAATGGGGAATGAATCCGCCGTTGCCAGGGCAAAGCCGAACCAAACGTTGCTGTCCCCCCAGCTGGCCAGCAATAGCCCTGTGGTAGCCCTGTGGTGTCCCGATGGTGTCCCGATGGCGTCCCGATGGTATCCCGTGGTGTCCTGTGGTGTCCCGTGGCGCGGGGGTGTCCCGTGCCGTGCTACATGCTGAGATTTGTTATGCTGGGGATTGAAGAATCGATCGTGAGATTGGTAACGAGATCCACAAAATGAATGATATCAAAATTGAAATAGAGCGTGCGATTGGTAGCGATGTCGATTGAATGAGATTCATCGTGAGACCGACAGAGAGATCGATAACACGATCTATAGTGATATCGATTGAGTGATATCGGTAGTGGAATCGATAACGAAATCGATCGTGTATTCGATAGTGTGATCGATACTATGATCGATTGAGCGATATCGTCACTGATATCGATCGTGAGATCGACAGTGAAACAGATAGGGATATCCATCGTGATTTCGACTTTGTAATCGATTGAGTGACATCGATAGTGATATCGATAGTGGTAATGAAATCGATGGTGAGATCGACCGTGAACCCGGGAATCAGAAACCGGAACCCCGGGAACCCGCCGCTCACCTAAATCGGCCCAGAACCAACCACCGGCAACTGGGAAATCTGAAACTGGGAACCCGGGAACCCAGCCGCCTATCGGCAGGGAGCCTTCGCCAAATATTCCAATCGCCGCCCGGGTCCCTTCAATGCAAGCGCTAGTTGGAGAATGGGCGCCCGGCTCGCCCTTCCGACTGGCGCTGGGGCGCGACAGGGAACTGATTCATGGGGGGATAAGGAGGAAGGAGGAGGAGGAGGAGGAGTAGGAGGATGAGGAGGCGGAGGAGGAGAAGGAGGAGGAGGAGGAGGAGGAGGAGGGAGGAGGCGCCGTGCCTTGAGGAGGAAGAGGAGGAGGAGGAGGGAGGAGGAGAGAGGAGGAGGAGGAGGAGGAGGAGGAGGAGGAGAGGAGGAGGAGGAGGAGGAGGAGCGCGCCGTGCCTTGAGGAGGAAGAGGAGGAGGAGGAGGAGGAGGAGGAGGAGGAGGAGGAGGAGGAGGAGGAGGAGGCAAGCGTGCGACGACGACGACGTCCCGCCTTGCGCTCCCCCGCGCTGTCTTGCTTGCGCAGGAAGGCGGAGAGCACGAACGGCTGCCCGAGCAGCATCGCGCGCCATGTCGGGGAGGAGGAAGACCTCGGGAGGAAGGAGACGGAGCTGGTGATGTGTGTGCGTCGCGACATGTATTTCTTCTAAAATGGGGACGGTGCAGTATCCAGGGATCCCAAGACGGTCGAGGGGGTCGAGGCATAACGGGCGAGAGCGGAGGGGGCGGGAAACGGACCGAGCCAACCTGGGGCAACGTAAATTATGCCTCAGAGCGTCAATTGGGCTCGCGCAGCCAAGCAGACACGATAGTTTTCCACGAGCATGCAGAATGCGATGGCTGGGAAGCCAGCCGCCGGAAGCCGCGCGGAGCCAGGGCCGAACGCACGGGGGAGGAACGCGATTTAAAACCTGGCGGACAGAAACAAAGTTCCACAAACAATTTCTTGAGCTCTGAAGGGGAACATCTTGCACACACGCGGCCTCGGATGTTTATCCAAGGAGCGAGATATGCCAGCGCGGAGCGCAAGCTATCTTCGCGGCCCGCTGGGGCTTAAAGGCCCCGGGAGGAACGCTGGGGATCCCATGGGCACGGGCGGCCCCCAAGCACAGCTCAGATGACGAACCGCGGCAGGCGGTAGCCATATACTCAACGGCTGATTTCGATTTCCAGTGCGCAGGGGAGAGTCGACCCGCTGGCAGCATCGCCAATCGAAGTTCGTCGGCGCACGCCACGCTGTCATTCTGAGCACACGGCCACCGAACAACTCGAGCATGTCCTGGCAGTGCGTGTATAGCTGTTCTTGCCATCGTCGCAGCACTTGTAATCTCTAGAGGGAACACTTCCGGCCCGTGGAACTCATTGAGATGCGACCAATCCGCGTGAGCAGAATTTCCCAAGGGGGTCCTGAAGACCTGCGAGAGACAGCCTAGCTCCATCTGCTTCAGGGCCTCGGCATCGGCGGGACCTGCATCACAGGGCTCAGCCCCGAGGCGCAGCGCGCGCTGCACAGGACAGCCGACGAAGCAGCAGAAGTCGGTCCACGACCAACCGCAGCGCAACGGAGACGATATTTCGAAATTGGAAGTGCCCAAGAGTCGTCCTCAGAAGCTCCAGGGCCCACCCGCATCCCAAGGTCAAACAACTTGTCTTCTATGCGAAACGGACTCCAGGCCGGTATGAACATGTCCAACAACTTCTGGGTCTTCATCTTAGGTTCAACAGTGAACCTGACAGATACTGGAACTATAACACATGTCGTCGGTTCAGTTTCAGCTGGGCAATCTTCTAGGTGATACTCATGACGCGGAAGAGCAGGATTCGGCATCTGAGCATCTTGAGGGCACCGCCAAGGTCATCCGCGCAAGCTCGGTTGATTCCGAGCCGCTTGCTCTCGAAGCAGCAGTGGAGGTCAACCAACGCGGGCGACAAGGCAACGGCGAACAGGGGCCCCGACAGCGCATCCCCCTGGATAATGCCTGAACGGGTCCAGAACGCATGTCTCGAGAAGTCTTGAATCGCGATCACCCCTTGGATGGCATCATTTACGATCGCGATGAAATCAATCAGCGCTGACGGGTATCCCATCTTCGCAGGCGCGAGCAATGCGTGCTCCTGAGGCAAGCTAGGGGGCGCATGTCCGCAGTCAAGGGCACGCAGAACAGGACAATCATCATCGGCTTCGGGGCGAGCTGAGTGCGTGCGGGATAACGCATCAATTTCCAGGATATTCACGCGGAAATTTCGGCCTCTCATGAAGCCGCGTTGGCCCCCAGGAACAAATCGGTCCACAAGTCGACGAGTAGCGTCATTCACAGTCGCAGTCAGAAGCTTAATACTGGTATTTCGGACCCCCCAAACTTGAACTGCATCTGTTCCCCGATCGCGCTCGCCATCAGCCGAGTCGGAGATGAACTCGCCCTTCGGCGGGAAGGCCTGCAAAGTCGCGCTCTCCGACAAGAAAAGGCCGTTGCCCGACAGCGCCCACAAGAGGACGTCGTGTAGTTCAAGAAGACCAGAAGGATGAGCAAGCCAGGCAGCACAGCGCAGTCGGTCCACTCCAGGAGCGGAATCACTAACTCGGAGTGCGACCTTCTTCAGGGCAGCGAGCGACGGCGGCGGGCAATCATCGAAGTTGACGGGCTTCGCGACGCGATCGACGTAAGCAGCGGCGGTCTGAGCGGGCCAAAGCTTTCGAGCAAAAAACGGGCCCCGCTGCGAAGTAAGTGCAGCAGCGCGATCGGCAACGCCCCCCATCCTCACCCCATCCATCACGAGAGCTCTCAGGATTCATCTTCTGGAGAATGGAACCCAAAAGCGAGCGCGACGATCGATGGCTCGGAGTTGTTGGTGAAGCCGGGTCCTCGAGCCTACGCCCCGCGCTAGATCGAGGCGAGCTTGTGCCGAGGCGCGATCGAGATCAGCCGCTTTAAGTTGCACGTGCACTTCGTTCGTCCGACGTCGAAACGAGGCTGGGTGGAGCAAGCGCGCACGGCGCGCGCGCAGTCCTGGCGCCGCACCGCGCGCGCCAGGGCACGAGCCAGAAGCAACAGTGACCGCGGGTCATGCGGATGCTTGAGCTAGGAGATTGCGGGCAGCTCGACTGGCCCCCGGCATGCGCACTTAATATATTTCAAGACGACGGGGGGGGGCGCATTGTTCAGGGAACTTCTTTCCGCATCGACATTTCCCAAGAACATATATATATATATATATACATATATATATATATATATATATATATGTATATGACTTGGCAATGTGCTTCGGGATGGGGCGATCGCACTCATTCGAGACCTTGCGGGGGAGAAACGATGCAACCAGAGCGGCATGGTCACTCACCTTGCCTCTAGAAAGCTCCTCTGGGTTGCCCGCGACACGGGCGCGCGAGAACCCGCGCAATCACCCAGCTGGGCCAAAGGCGCCATGATCTATCAATAGCTGCAGCAGCATCCGCCTGCTAATCGAAAATGGCGGCGGCAGCTGGCGAAATCTCAATGGGGTCGGGTGTGTCGCGCCATCTCGGCGCCTGCGCGCGCAGTGGCCGGGCATTTCTTTGGGCCTCCGATGGCAGCGCAAAGCTCGCATTTTCCTCGGGCGCAACATTTTAATCACCCGCGACCACCGTTAAACAGCCCTCAGGATTAGCTTCTGATTCGGCCCGATCCCTGGATATGAAATTGCAAGCGCTCCGAACTTGAGCTGCCGTGAGCTCGTCGTTATGAACGCTTCAATGGATTGTCATGGTGTTTTCGCTTGCAATCACTGCGCGCAGCACGCGACCAGGAATGGGAGCAGAGAGTGGTGAGGAGACGCCCAGAGGAAGAGTAGGGGTGGGGTTACCTGGGACCAGGATCCCAGGGGCGATCGCGGCGACACCTCCTCAGGTGCGACCCTCGCGGTCATCGCCGCAGAAGCTCGAACAAATCGGGGCCCCTGGAAGTATCGGTTGCTAGAGGATTCGGAACTGCGCCTTGCTCTGATGCAGCTCTTGAAACGAAGTAACAGAGGAGCCGCGGCGCAATTTAGTCAAATGTTCGAGTTTCTCAGCTGCGTGAGCACCCTCATGCTGGAGAAGCGCCCGACAATTCCACGTCGTGAAAATCATGCCGCCATCCGAACTCATGTCGCAAAGCACCTGCGACGCCCGCCTCGGCAGTAGCTTCACAAAGCGGGTGAAGACACCACTCAGGTTCTGCATCGGGCTCGAAGATCGAGCTGGTCCACGAGAGGAGGTCGGGCTTGGATCAGCCCAGCTTGCGGATCGTCGCTTAGTTCCACATGATGTCGGCTTTCCCCTTGCCTTGCTTCGGCTCGATCTTGCCTAGTGCGTCCCGGCCGATGGAGATCCAGCCGCGATCGCGATCGAAGAAGGCTTTGTGGCCCCGCAGTTCCGTCTGCAGCGCCATCTTCGTTTTGCGGCCGAGGATCTCGAGCTTGACCTGGCGCGGGCTCTTGTCTTGAGACACATGAAAGCGAACTTCTCCTCCCCCGCCATGGGCTGCCGCGGCGAACTGACGCCAGACACCATCATTGCCGCGGAGCGAATGCAGCGCCTTGCCCGCGCGGTGGGCAGCGAGGCCAGCGGCCCCCGTGAATTTGAAAACGAACTGCTTGGAGAGAGGGTCGGGGGGCTGGAGCTCGTACTTCTCAGCGTCGAGGCCAAACTCGGACAACCGAGGCGTGAGTGCGGCAAATGTACCTGCGTGAGAGACCAATTGCCCAGCTGCCACCCGTGCGATCGTGCCGTCCGTTTCTCTGTCGAACTGTGTAGATTGAACTTGAACAGGACGCGACGACTGCGAGTTGGCCACCACCAGGTGCAGCCATCTGTGCAAGTAGCTCATCATGTTCATTGACACGGCTGGCCTGTCGCTGCAACTCTGCGTGGATATCGTCGATCCGTCCCGTGAGCTCTCGCCGAAAATCATCGATACGTGGTAATTACCACGGCAGCGGTGATGCGCTCGTCGAGCTTGGTGCCGGTCTTCTGGAAAGGCACTTCTTGAGGCACTCTTCAAAGTTCTTCGTGAACGCATCCGTGATAGACTTTGCTTCGGTCTGGACTGTGGTGACCGTGGACGAGACCATGGACTCGAACTGAACCTGCAATGCCGCCACCTCCTCCTTGAGCAAGCCAGCGCAGATGGTGCGGATCTGGTCATCGGACATTTTCTCATCAAAGTCGCTGCCAAACCTGTGCATCTCGGGACACCTGCCAGCGGAAACCGCCGCGGGAGAGGACGCACCAGTGCCAGCAGAGCTAAACTGAAGACGAGCACCGCGAGGAGTGGTTTTTGGAACAGTCTTGATGACTTTCTTCGATGCGTCATTCGAGGCCATCCCAACTGCAACAAAATGAAGCGAGAGAGCTGGAAGCGCTACTGCAGGTGTGGGGGCCCAAATCCCATAGTGAAGGCCAGAAAGCACTGCCAGGCAGAAACTGCCTGACCTGTCGCGGATTAGCGGCATCCCTGCAGGCACGGAGGCGCGGAGCCCCCAGAGTGCAGGCATCTTGAGCCAAAATGGCTACGGAGGAGGAGAAGGAGGAGGAGGAGGAGGAGGAGGAGGAGGAGGAGGAGGACGACGACGACGAGGAGGAGGGGGGGAGGAGGGAGAGGGGGGGAAACGGGGAGAGGAAAGGCCAGGAGGTGGGAGGAGGGGACGCTTTTCCCTCGTCGACTTCACTCGCAAGCACCCTCGCGGATCTGGAAGTCCACGACCAGCGGGCGGTGATCCGACAGCGTGCCCTCCAGCGTGCCCCAGCCCGCGCCTCTGCTCCAGGGCGTCTCCGGCGGCACCTCCCTGGGGTGCAGGAAGGCGTCGACGGTTGGGGCCCCCAAGACCGGGACGCTGCTGAAACCAGACGTGCTCGCGTCGTGCCTGGGAACAGATCGATGGACAAACGTTGGTCGTTTCCCGGCCCCTGGGGCCCCCAAGACCAGGACGCTGGTGAAACCAGACGTGCTCGCGTCGTGCCTGGGAGCAAATCGATGGACAAATGTTGGTCGTTCTCGGCCCCATCGGGGCCCTCGCCGGGCTCCGGGGGCCGTCGAAAAACGACCCGGGAGGAAGAGCTGGTCCCGGGAGAAGGATCCGAACTTCTGGGGACTCCGCGCTAGACGTGATGCTGGCCAAGGATTGGAGTGTGTGTGTGTGCGTGGAAGCAAACTAGCCTCAACAATTAAGGTCAAAAAACTTTAATAACACTCCGATCCAGCTCCGATTCAACTCTGGCCCGGAACTCTGTTTCATCTTTGATTCTCTCTCGAAGTTCTGATTTAACCCTGGTCTGAGCTCCGATTTAACTCTGATTCGGCTCTGTCCCCAACCAGAGCTAAATCAGAGTTAAATCAGAGTTCCAGACCAGAGCTAAGTCAGAGCTTTAGCTTAACCAGAGAGATGAACTAGAGTTTTTCATACCAGAGCCAAATCAGAGTTTCATAAGAGCGCGCCCGTACGGAACTCAATACTAAAAGGGGGGACCCAGCTTCAAGCTACCCCCGCCCCCCTTCCTTCGAAAAGGGGGGGGGGAGCTTCCGAAGCTACCCCCCCTCCCTTCTAAAGGGTTTCTAAGCTAGGGGGGCCCTGGCTAAAGAGGGGGGGGGCTTCGAAGCTACCCCCCCCCACCCTCCCTTTTCCGGAAACGAAGGTGAGCCCGGGCTTCCCCTTCAAGGCGGGGGGGGGCTTCGGAAGCTACCCCCACCCCTCCTTCCTTTTTGGGTCTGGACACAAGGGTGGGCGGCTTCAAGCTACCCCTCCCCCCTCCTGTGCAAAGGAGAGGGGGGGTCCGAAGCTACCTCCCCACCCCCTCCCTTTCGGGGCTCTGGCAAAATGGCTGAATCCTTGAAGACAGGTGCGCACCGCAGCGCTAGACAACGAAATTGGAGAATAACGTGGACCCCTGGTTCGTTTTCTTGCTTTCTTGTTTTCTCGGCCCCTGGTTCGTAGTCTCGCTTTCTCGGGCCCTGATTCCTTTTTAACGATTTCTCATTTTCTCGGCCCCTGATTCGTTGTCTTGTTTTCTCGTGTTTTCGGCTCCTGGGTCGCGGTCTCGTTTTCTTTGACCCTGGTTCGCGTTCTCGTTTTCTCGTTTTCTCGGCGCCTGGGTCGTGGTCCAGTTTTCTCGGACCCTGCTTCGTTTTCTCGTTTTCTCGGCCCTTAGGTTGTGGTTTTCTTTTCTCGGACGCTGGTTAATATTCCCGTTTTCTCAGCCCCCGGGTGGTGGTCTCGTTCTCTCTGACTCTGCTTCGTTTTCTCGTTTCTTCGTTTTCTCGGCTCCTGGGTCGTGGTCTCGTTTTCTCGGACCAAGCGTTTTCTGGTGATCTCGGCCCCTGGGTCGTGGGTCGTGGGTCGCTTTCGCGTTTTCTCATTTCCTCGGCTCCTGGGTCGTGGTCTCGTTCTCTCGGGGCCTGGTTCGTTTTCTCGTTTTTGGTTTTCTAAGCCTTTGGGTCGTGGTCTCGTTTTCTCTGTTCCGGTTCGTTTTTCGTTTTCTTGTTTTCTCGGCCCCTGGTTCGTAGTCTCGTTTTCTCGGGCCCTGATTCCTTTTATCGTTTTCTCGTTTTCTCGGCCCCTGGGTCGTGGTCGTGTTTTCTCGGATCCTGGTTCGTTTTCGCGTTTTCTGTGCCCTTGGGTCGTGGTCTCGTTTGCTCGGACTTTGTTTTGTTTTCTCGTTTTCTCGTTTTCTCGGCCCCTGGGTCGTGGTCTCGTTTTCTCTGACCCTGGTTCGTTGTTTTCTTTTTCGTTTTCTCTGATTTTTTCCCCAGACAGCTTGCTGAACGGGGTGCTGTTGTGATAGGAACTAACTCCGGCCGAGGGAACGCGGAGCAGAGACATCCTCACAAAAATCTTATGGTTTTGGCCGTTTCGCTTGAGGCATCCTCACAACTCTCGTTTCTGAGTTGGCCGGGATTGGCCGTTTCGCCTGAGACATCCTCGAAAAGTTGCGCTCCGGGACGCCGCGCGAGAGGTGGTTCGGCCCGTTTCGCTTGAGACATCCTCGAAACTCTGAGCCCCGAGGTGCCGTGCGAGAGGTGGTCCGGGCCGTTTCGCCTGAGACATTCTCGAAACTCTGAGCTCTGCGATGCCTTGCGCAAGGTGGTCCGGGCCGTTTCGCCTGAGACATCCTCGAAACTCTGACTTCGGAGATGCCGCGCGAGAGGTGGTCCGGCCCGTTTCGCCTGAGACATCCTCGAACTTCTGAGCTCTGAGATGCCCTGCACGAGGTGGTCCGGCCCGTCTCGCCTGAGACATCCTTGCAACTCTGAGCTCTGAGATGCCGTGCGCAAGGTGGTCCGGCCTGTTTCGCACAAGACATTCTCGCGACTCTGGGCTCTCAGATGCTGCGCAAGAGGTGGTCCAGCCTGGGGGCCCAGAAGACCACATGTTACATATCCTCCATGGGGCCCTGCGAGCCTCAGGAGGCCCCAGAGAGGTCCAGGAGGCCGCAGGACGCCCAGGACAGGCCACAGGGGTCTCCAGGAGATTCCCAGGAGGCTCCCAGGAGGCCCCAGGAGGCCCTCTATCAGAACGTGTCAAGTTAATACACATCCGGTGTCGATTCGTTGATTTTTCCTGCTCTTGTGCCCCCCCCTCCATTTTGAGGGGCCCAAGCGGCCACAGGTTAGATATCCCCCCTGGGAGCCCCAAGAGGCTTCAGGAAACCTCAGGTGGAGTTCAGGAGGCCACAGGAGGCCCAGGAGGAAGCTCCAGGAGGTCCCCAGGAGGCCCCAGGAGGCACCAGGAGGCCGCAGGACGCCCAGGACAGGCCCCAGGGGTCTCCAGGAGATTCCCAGGAGGCTCCCAGGAGGCCCCAGGAGGCCGCCTATCAGAACGTGTCAAGTTAATACACATCCGGTGTCGATTCGTTGATTTTTCCTGCTCTTGTGCCCCCCCCTCCATTTGGAGAGGCCCAAACGGCCACAGGTTAGATATCCCCCCTGGGAGCCCCAAGAGGCTTCAGGAAACCCCAGGTGGAGTTCAGAGGCCACAGGAGGCCCAGGAGGAAGCTCCAGGAGGTCCCCAGGAGGCCCCAGGAGGCACCAGGAGGCCCCCGCAACTCGGAGCTCTGAGACGCCGCGCTCGAGGTGGTCCGGCCCGTTTCGCCTGAGACTTCCTCGCACCACGTTTCGCCCGAGACATCGTCGCAACTCTGGGGTCCGAGATGCCGCGCGCGAGGTGGTCCAGCCCGTTACGCTGGAGACATCCTCGCAACTCTAGGCTCCGAGATGCCGTTCGGGATGAAGAGGAGGTAGAGGAGGAGGAGGAGGAGGAGGAGGAGGAGGAGGAGGAGGATGGAAGGGAGAAGGAGGAGGGCGGATGATGTGCATGAGGGAGCAGGCAGGAGGAGGGGGAGGCCCCAGAGAGCTCCAGGAGGCCGCAGGACGCCCAGGACAGGCCCCAGGGGCCCCCAGGAGATTCCTAGGAGGCTCCCAGGAGGCCCCAGGAGGCCGCCTATCAGAACGTGTCAAGTTAATACACATCCGGTGTCGATTCGTTGATTCTTCCTGCTCTTGTGCCCCCCCTCCATTTGGAGAGGCCCAAACGGCCACAGGTTTGATATCCCCCCTGGGAGCCCCAAGAGGCTTCAGGAAACCCCAGGTGGAGTTCAGGAGGCCAGTGCCGACCCGACAGCTTACTCGTCGACCAGGTGCGACCTGGGACATCCTCGCAACTCTGGGCTCCGAGACAGGGTTCCCCTAACAGGATTTTTATAATCCTTTTAGCGACGTCTCAAAACGTGCCGAGGAGGAGGAGGAGGAGGAGGAGGAGGAGGAGGGAGCAGGCAGGAGGAGGAGGAGGACGAGAAGGAGGAGGAGGAGGAGGAGGAGGAGGAGGATGAGGAATGGAGTTGCATGAGAGGGCTTAACGGGAAGCGAGAGGTAGAACGGCCCGTTTCGCTTGGGGCATCCTTCCAATACTGAGCTCCGAGATGCCGCACGCGAGGTGGTCCAGCCCGTTTCTCCCGAGCCATCCTCACAATGCGAAGCTCCGAGATGCCGCCATGCGCGCCCTGCCTTCCGCCCTCCGCAGACATCCGACGTCACGATTTTTGTTTCGAGACGTGCGCCCGCGGACCTCTTGATCTCGTCCCCGGGACTGGTTCTTCGTCAGGGTTCTTCGAGATGCTGCGCACGAGATGGTGTGCCCCGTTCTGCCTGAAACCTCTCTCATTTCTCCCACCTCCCTCCTCTTGCCTCCCGCCT